TTTTTGTTTTTTTTTTTTTTTTTTTTTTTTTTCAAATTAATATAAGGAAGAGCTTAAAATTGCATTATTATACAAATACATGCTAGTATTTTTTTCTTTATTTGTTTGTGTATTTTTTTTAAATAATTACAAAAAGTAAAAATATGAAACTGGGATTGGTATTTTATTTTATTATTATTATTATTATTTATTTATTTTTGCTTAAAATTATCATGAAATGAATACAAAAACATAAATATGAAGCTTAAGCCCATGCTAATTTTTACATTTATCTGTTAGCATATTTCACAAAACGAGTACAAAAAGCATAAATATGAAACTTGAATTCATGCATATATTTAACAATATTAATGTGAATTTGTGCATAGCCATGCATATATTTAACAAAAAATGAATAAATAAAAGCGTAAAATCATAAATATAGAACTTAAATCCATGTTGGCTTTTTAAATATTTATTTGCATATATTTAACATAAGTACAAAAGGCATGAATATAAAACTATTGAATTATTAATTAAATTAAATATAACATTTTTATTTACTTGATTATATTTAACCAAAATGAATACAACAATTTTTTTTTTTTTTTTCACGTTTTTTTTTAAAAACAAAAAAAAAAAAAAAAAAAAAAAACATATTTAAAAAAAAAAAAAAATTCTAAAAGATAAAAAGAGGAAGAATGACAAAAACCAAGGTTTGATAAAATCAAGTAAATAAATGAACGCTTCACATGCTTTCTTGTTTTCAAGTAACTCACTTATGAAGGAATACATTAATTTATTAATGAAAAAATAAAACAGACTGTTTTATAAATAGACTGTTCATTTACTTTGTTTACAACTGTAGGTAAATGTAAGAGTAAAATAATACATTAGTAGAAAACGTTTCAAATTGAAAAATAAATAGACAAATATAATTTAATTAATTTTGAAAATGCTATTCAAATCTAATAATAAAAACAATATATTAATTAATCCTTTTTTTTTAAACGACAGCTTTTAAAAACATTTTATAAAACACTTTTCTTAATTTATTTGCCAAAGTGCTTTTCTTCATTATTTTGTCCTTTGTAAGAGAAGTGATTCTTGATCAAAAAAATGTGAAGTGTTGAAATTAAGCATATTAAAACCTTAATTACTAATTGAATTACTGTGTAATGTAATGGGATTCATTTCTCCCCAATAAAATAAAAATGGTTGGGCTAATGTTTGCGGAGCCACTGGAAAATTAAGCCATGAGAACACAGATATACATTATTAAAAACATTATTTATTCTAAACATATAATATAAACATGTATTTCTTTATTAATCATATGTAACTCATTTTAAAGGGGTCATATGATGCGATTTCAAGTTTTCCTTTCTCTTTGGAGTGTTACAAGCTGATTGTGCATAGATAAGATCCCTGAAGTTGCAAAGACTAAAGTCTCAAAACCAAAGAGATATTCTTTATCAAAGTTAAGACTCTGCCACGCCACGCATATCTACGTCACTATGTGGAAATATTAGCATAATGCCGCCCAAATGTTCACGCAAAGAAAGAAGGCGTGGTTTCAGTAACCGCAGTTAGTGTTGAAGCAGTCATGTCAGAGAGACACTTTGTGTTTCTAGGCGAAAGCAAAAGCACTTTATTTTGCCTTCCGAAAGTAGATGCATTTAGGAATCTTTAAGATTACTTACAACAGAACAGCAATGCATTTTATGGACGACCGTTTCGTGAACCTAGGAGAGGAGATAATTCTGACTTTGCTATGACAATCTAGCGCTTCTGAATCAGCTACTGATTTGTTGTTAGTTTAAGTATTTGCTATCGACTGTTCAAATGCGGAGTTTTGCGCATCGTGTGTGTGTGTGTGGTGCTTGCGGTGTTCGGCCAATCACAATGCACTGGGTCAGCTGGCCAATCAGAGCAGACTGCGCTTGTCGGAAGGAGGGACTTTGTAGAAAACGAAGCGTTTGAGAGAGGCGAGGCATAGAGGACCTACAATAATGTACAGTATTTGAAAAATAATGTGTTTTTTTAACATTAAAGCATGTCAACATATTCTGTTACACCAAATACACAAAATAATGATCTTTAAAAAAGCATCATATGACCCCTTTAAAATATCAATGGATAAAGATGCTTTTTGGAACCAGATGGTGCAGTTACAGAATCTACCAGCAGAGGCCAGGCCGAGGGGTCAAGAAGATTTGATTGGTTAGCATGGTGACCTCTGCATTAGCCCCTGATAGCAGATGCCATTAATATCTACACCCTCATCTGGTTCCAAAAAACATATTTTTTTCCCACTGAGTGTCTTTGAAAATGACCCATGTGTTCTGACAAAATATTTTTTGTTCAAGGTAGTGGGCTTGTGTAATTTGTAAAGGAAACCTGCCACTTGCTTGTTGGTTTGTTCTTTTATTTTCCTTGTAGGCTATTGTCACCAAACCTGTCACCTCTTCTTGCTTTTTAGTAATTAGTAGCTACTAATTAATGCGAATTAGTAGCTTTCTTATTTATAGAAATAATCTCTGCTATAGCTCATATTTCCTGCCCACTGTTTCTAATGAACTCCTACTCATAAACTGACTGAACTCCATCTCTCATGAGCTAAGCTTTAATGCTGAATATGCGCTTACAGCATTTTATATATTAACAGGCAATACAAAAGCTTTATTTTTTTTGTGCAAGATCCGAAGAGATAAAATACCCATGCAATTGTCACTGGATACAGTAGCCTACAACTGAATAAAGCATCTTTTGTTTCTCAGCTGACATGAGATTCTTCCTGAATACCTCAAAAAAGATTTAGGGAATAAAAAAGGTAAAAGAAAGAAAGAAAGAAAGAAGCGGTACCCTGTAATAATGCGCTATTAATGAGTCAAAATAGTTTTTTTTTCTTTGAAGGGAAGGGAGAAAACTGAAATGCTGTTTCTTAGGAAACCATTTAGAAGCACACTATTTATATTAAACAACACATTTCAGCACAATTATACACACAGTAAATAAAACACGGGACAATAAATATAAGACATTAGTAACAAGATGTATAACAACAACAACAACAGACAATGTAAAAATCAAATAGCTAATAAAATAATTATGGCTGGAACATGCCTAAAATCGAATACACTTGAATGAAGTATCCTTTCAACGCGCTGAGAATATCACATTCGCCTAAAAGGCTCAAAAGTAACAATATTTCACTTAGTCATTTTGTATTAGAAGACAAAATTCCTTTGTTCCCTGTACAGTGAGACACTGGCCCTTTAAGAAGAGACATTTCAATCTAGGCGTGTTTGCTGCTCCCGAAGAGAATCCAGCCCTGCTTGCATCCTACGACGCGAAATCGGAGGAAAGATTATTGACCACGTTGCTCAAATAATTCCTGTATAATCGGCATATGTCACAAAAGGCTTTACTCAGATTTATTCTGTATTCTTTTAAGAGAAAAGGGACGGCGAATCCTCTCGGGATAGACGCTTTTAACCAACCTAACCAATGACATAAATGTCAGTCAGTCAAGGTCCACTCACGCGCCAGGTGATGTGCGTTTAGCATTTACACGCTTTCTTCAGGTTAGCTTCGCTTTCTCATTTGAAACCTGTGGACATTTTGAACGGACACACTTTCAAATTGTGCCAGTATGGGGAATCTTCGCTTTCGGATGAGGATTTTGCTTTTTGGCATTTGATTGGGACTTTAATCATGGATTTAAACACAGAAGAGCAGGTATGTAGCGCGACAGACTGATGCTTTTCAGAAACACTGAAGATCCGCGAGGAACCACGGGAAGAATCCTACAAACACATCGTGCACGTGCAGGAAGAAATACATTTCTGCTAAGAAGCTCCTCTGTGTTTTATTGCTGATAACACTCCATCGTTCGTTAATCTCGGGTTAATCATTAAGTGGACACCATTACCTGGTACCTTCGCTATCATGTCGGCGGTGATGATAACACGGAAGGTTACTCGAAAATGGGAGAAATTGCCTGGGAAAAACACCTTCTGCTGCGATGGACGGGTTATGATGGGTCGGCAGAAAGGAGTATTTTACCTGACCTTATTTCTCATCGTTGGAACCTGCTCTCTGTTCTTCGCCTTTGAGTAAGTGCATGTCATTGGTGATTACTAGACCTACACCGCTAGAGACACGAGCTGCCGACAATACAGCTTCGCTTTTTCCTCACAGTGTGGAATTTGCATTGTAGGTGGCCTTTGCTTAATGCAATTGCAAGAATGAAATATTATATTTAATTAGCAGTCAAAACATATTACATCCACATGACAAAGACAACAAATGTAACAATAAAAAGTGTGAAATATTGAGGACCGAAGCGCTCCTGACGCCGTGGCTTGCGTTTTCATATGACGGTAGAAATGTCCGATTCGTGAACGAATCGTTGTTTTGAGTCGGTTCACAAAACCGGTCTGAACGATTCGATTGCGAACTGAATCGCTCCCAGCATTTCTTGCGTGAACAACTCAACATCGATTATTTCAACCGAGAACAGAGGATATCACTAATGTTACTTTAATATTCGTGTGTGTGCTGATAAAACACTTAACGTTATACTAAATTTCGCAAAAAAAAATCTGTTCGAAATGTTTACAATTTGATCGAATGACCGTTTTAGCACACAAACTACAGTTAGTTTTAATCAGTGTTGGGGGTAACGCATTACAAGTAACGCGAGTTACGTAATCAGACTACTTTTTCCAAGTAACTAGTAAAGTAACGCATTACTTTTTAATCTACAAGAGAATATCGGAGTTACTTTTTCAAATAAGTAACGCGAGTTACTTTTTTTTCCATTTTATTGATTGACAGCTCTGGTGTTGCCATGGTGACAGAAATCAGATGATGTTACTGTAGTTCTAAAATAAATATGAATATGCATTAATTAATCTCACTCACAAAAAACACAGATTCAGTATTCCTCAAAATGAATAAAAATAATGCACCTCTGAATATGACGCAAACCTGCAATAATTAAATGTTAAACACAAATATGCTTTATGTATTTAATCCCATTCTATTAAGCAATGTCTTTGCTTCTGACCTTCGATGATCCAGTTCAACCGTACGAAGCAGCAAAAATTACTCCAGATAAACATTTGTGTGTTTTTTTTTATTGCTGAAGTGTGGTGAAATTTCTTCTTCTGCATTCTACTGTACGGACGTAAATGTACTTTCCCTTCAGCCTGAGGCTTATTCATTTTCACTTTTGGTGTGAAAAGGCTTTTATATTTGCCAAAAATATAACTTTTTTTTTTATTTTATTTTAAAAACAAACAAGTGAGCCCTGTCCAAATTAAAAAAGTAACTCAAAAGTAACATAACGCATTACTTTCCATAAAAAGTAACTAAGTGATTAGTAACGTAATTAGTTACTTTTTTATGGAGTAACCCAATATTGTAACGCATTACTTTTAAAAGTAACTTTCCCCAACACTGGTTTTAATAAGTAAATTTTTTTTTAATTGTTAAACAAAAAACTGATTACAATAATCACCCTTATTAACAAAACTTAATAGTAAAACATTATAATCAGACACGAAAAATTAATTTTTCTTTTTAACCGACTCAATTCGCGGGAATGAGTCAGACTTACCATCACTAAATGACAGTCATAATCAACTCAATTCATCAGAAGAACAACTAAAAAAAAAATCTCCAGAAGAACCAACCTTTTTTTTTTTTTTTTGGCTACAAAAATATGTAATTGGTTAGTTTTTGGACCTGTAGATCGCTATAGAGCTATAAACCTGTAGATCACCCAACATGAACCTAATAACTTAGTACCCTACTAAATATTTTTGCAATGAAAAAATATACAATTATATTAAGATTAATGTTAGGTTTTCGAATTGTATGAGATCATTTGCCTGTTGATGGATGGGAAAGAGCTGTGTCATTGTTATTGAAACACATTTTCACAAAAGCAGATGTTTTTCAAGCTGGATGTGCTGCATATTAGAGATGAGCTCTGTTGGGTGGATCTGAGCTCCTTTGTGTGGACTTTGACGTCTGTGGTCGGTGTTTCCTGAGACTCGAGTGTTGTGCCCTGCCCATATCTCGGATCCTCCATTGGGCCTGTTCATCAGGAAATGATTCCCTGTCCCCGGTCAGAAACTCTGTCATGTATGGAGCTACTGGCTCCTGTAGAGTTTCACTGCACTACATGTTCATATCGCTGTTACTGATAATTAGTCCTCTTGAGGCAGACATATTAACGTAGAGACTGGTCTGAGCGTAAAAGTGTGATTCCAAATTGTTTCTTACATGAGAAGCTAATAGATGAACTGGGATTTGTAAAAAAATTATTTTTTTTGCATTTGCAATTTCAGTGTGTATTTAGATTTTATCTACACAAACATTGTCTGTATCCAACCTTCTTTATGGACCGAACTTGCCATTGGGTTTGAAACCATATGAAAGGTGTATGAATATTTTCTGAGTATTTTTTTGTCAAACAGTCTCTTTCTAAGATTTGGCTCTTGATAAAATTCTGGCTATGACTATCACAAAAGAACCGCAATTATTAAATATCACCCAACATTATTTGTATAGTCCCTGCTGGATCTTTAGTTTCAGTAGTGCACATTTATTTTTATGTGCAATTTATCTTTTATTTAATACAGAGCATGAGATTCCAGAAGAGACAGACAGTGTTTATGGAAACACATTGCTTCCAGTTATTTTGAATTTACAGGGAATTATTTATTGAGTATTGCTGAATGCTCGCGCTGTTGTGTCCTCATACGCCTCTCTGTCCATGGGGCCTGTGTCTGGACAGTTTATTCCTCTGCAGACTGAGTTACAAGCTCAAGACTGATTAGCAGGGTTGGACTTTGCATTGTTCTTTCTAAAGATCTTTGTATCTCACCTCCCCTTCCATTACTCTCCTTATGTGTCTTTGTTTGCTGAAAGTCTCTGCACTTGTATTTACATTTTTGGCTGTATGTGTAAACAAGATTATGCAAGTTGCATTGCATTTATGTTTGTACTCTCTTTAGATATCAGATTTAGAAAAGTGAGTTGATTGTGTAGGCTAGAAATTTTGTAAAAAATCTGCTGTGTGTCAAAATAAATATATAAAAATTAGTTCTGATGTTGCACTCACTATAGCCAAGGGTTTGTCGATCCACCATTGGCTGAAAGTAAGAACCACTTGCTATTGGCCTGATATCTTCAACTTAAAGGTGAAGTGTGGAATTCAATGTAAATAAAATGATTATTTTTAAATGATTTTTAAATACTAGAATGGTATGTATTCATATTTTGAAGTAGCTTTTATTTTTATGTTTGCATTTCTTTTAGTAGGCTAATTTTGTAATGTGCTTTATTATTATTATTTTTTTTTAATCTTTCATTTATTTTTATTTCAGTTTTTGTATGTAATCTTATTTTGTTTCTATTTGTTGCCAAGGCAACATTTCAAATTTTTGTTAATTTAAGTTTATTTCAATTTAAGATGGTTGAACAACATCGAAAAATATAACTCCTTTCCCAGCATAATAAGCTGAAACAACTACAAGTAAGCCATTTGGAGACTGAATTCCTGAGGAGTGTAATTCTGTGACACTTTCAAAACAGCGTTGTTGACCAATGCCAGACAAAGTGTTCAGGAATTGTTTTTGCTGACTTACACCCTTCATCTTTAACATACTTCTCTCTAAAATGGTTCTACACAAGTGAAACTGTTTCATAGTGGCACTTGATGTGTTGACAGTCATCAGATTCTGTTGATTGTGTTCGCCCACTCATTCTTTCACTTTAGAAGTACATGGGATGAGGTTTCACTCTGCTTTTGTCCTGTATGTTTGTTTTAACATCCATTGTAGCTCAGCAGTTAAATGTCTATATATTTGATGTTTATCATTGAATGGTGGATAGTTACTCATGTTGTTGCTGAGGAAGTGTCTAGTGTATGAGTGTTTGTGGTCAGTGTCACGGTCTGTGTGAGCTCTAGAGGGCTGCTGTCTGATGCTGTCCTTCTGCAGGGGTCATGCCTGTTTATTCTTTTGGATTTTTTTTTTTTATCCCTGTGCTGTGTGACTGCAAAACTGGAGCTGTTGTAAATTTGTCTCCATGAGGGATTAGGATACCGTTTTTATTTTATTTTATTTTTTGGCAGTAATGCATAATTAATTTGCTTCGTGATTCACTTGCTCTTAAATTGGCAAACTCTTTATGAAGAATTAACAGAGGCTGTGCATGTAATTTTCAGGCTTGGCAACATCCCGGCATAACAACTTCATATCAGTGTGACACGGCTGAAATATCCTTTTGTACTTTATCAGTACATATTTGTACTTTATACTTTACATTACCTACATTTGTATTGTACTTTAAGCTTTTCTGAAAGTCCTTTATCAGAAAGAACAGCTACTGATGACACATCCGGATGTAAGATTGCAGTTTATTTGTTCGCTTGCTAATCTTTTCCCACTTTATTGTTAGCACTATTGTATACTATTTTAATATCATATAATAATCAAGTTTTGCAATGCAAAGTTCAAATGAATGAGGTGATTTTTGCATGTTGAATGTTTTACCAGGAGTGTTCATTCCTTGACAGTTTGACCTACTTTTTGGTTTAACTTAATACATATATCCATTCTTACCCATGTGCTTCCATCCTTAAAAGTATAACAAGTAGAAAATCTTTCTCTCAGTATTTGGTGTATCTGTTATGGAAGCTTGCTTCTGCATCAGAGTCAACTAAAACAGGTAATTATACGATAAAGTTTAAAATAAAGAATATAGTCATACTGTGAGGTATGGAGGACACTATTCTATTACTTGTAATATGTGGCTTGTATAAGAGTATCACATTTTTACACCGCATATATATATGCACACAACGTCACAACCTTTCAAAATTTGGTTCAGTTAGCACTTCTTCAAAGTTTCTTATGCTCACCATGGCTGCATTTATTTGATCAAAAACACCGTAATATTGTGAAATATTATTACAATTTAAAATAACTTTTCTTTTTTTAAAATGTATTTCTAAAACTTATTTCTGTGATGACAGCTGGATTTTCAGCAGCCATTACTCCAGTCTTCAGTGTCACATGATCCTCCAGAAATCATTCTAATATGCTGATTCAGTTCTCAAGAAAGATTTCTTATTATTATCAATGTTGAAAACCTTTTTTCTGCTTAACATTTTTGTGGAAACCGAGATTCATTTTTTTTCAGGATTCTTTTGATGAATCGAAAGTTCAAAAGAACAGCTGTTTTAAAAATAGAAATAGGCCTATATCATTATACATATTTACTGTTGTTTTATCAATGTAATGCATCCTTGCTGAATAAAAATCTTAATTTATCTTAAAATCTTACGGATAGCAAACTTTTGAATGGTAGTGTATGATGTCACAACGAGCTCTCGCATTCAACACTGTATTCAGCATCAGAGACTGTCTAATATAAAAAAAGATAAGGTATATAAAATTGTCTTCAGATTTGTTTCAGACTGTAATTATCCTCATTATCCTTTCCGGTGGCGTACTGGATGTTTGCGCTCAGCACTATCAGTAACAATAATTGTCAGGCCTCCCTGCCCCCACCAGTCTCCACCTAGAGACCAGCTAGACCCGTGAAGCAGCTCTATTGATTTTACAAACACACAGCTAAGCCTTTTCATAGCCAGCCATAAAACTCTGCTGTTGTTCTGTCTTAACTGTGGGAAACAGTCCTTTTCACCCAGTTCTCTGTGGAGCAGAGTGCAGATAATTCATTAAGGACAAGCTGTGAAGGCAATCAGAAGGGTGGAGATGCTGTAGCACAGTGACCAAAATGGCTTTGTGTGCATGATTTGAACTCTACAAGGGTTTAATTATCTTGATGCCAGAGTTCATGAAAAAGTGTCTTTCCAAAACATTTGATGTCTTCTGCTGAATTTCCCCCGTTTTGTTGAGTTTGTCAACTTGAAAACCCTGTTAACTTCAGTGATGCATGTTTCTGGTTCTGTTGTGAGTGATTCATTTGGTAGGTTATTCCAGAGACAACAATGGTTTTTATTTGTAAGCTTGAATCGGAATGAAATAATTTGCACTAATAATGATTGATAATGGGAACCAAATGGCTGTTTAGGCATTGTTTTAGCAAACTCTCATTCAGTCTGGCTCCATTGTGGTAATGCCTGTTTTTTGTGATCCAGTTGATTACGGCCCTCCATTTTTTTTTTTACAGCAGAATATCCTGTTCCAGAACTATGTCACATCACGGAAGTCAAATGGACATTTGTGTTGATTTTCAACAATAAAGTGTTGATTATGCATGTTGAGGCCCAATACTTTTTGTGTTTTCATTTTGTTCTATGGAAATAGTTAATTGCTAATTATGGTGGTTAAACAACCTTGTGCATAGTGACGATAAGAGAATCTGCACTTTTATATTGGAGCTGCTTATCTCTGGTATTGATTATGGGGAGAGAGGTCACATCCAGCACTGCATGATGAGTAACGTCCGGGAAGCTTAGGGCTGTGATAGGAACTGATGATGGAGCAGGTCCAGGATGCTTAAAGTCATCAGCAGATACATCAAACACACACACAAGCGGTTCTCCTCAGTTTTGCTCCGCTTTGCCCCAGCTCAGCTTTCACAATAATAAATGGATTTCACTGCAGCATTCTACCCATGATCTGGGCAGTGGGAAGTTTCATCGACCCGCTCTGCTCTGTATTTTTGCCCTCCTTTTTATGTCTTCCAGTCTCACAGTTTAAAACAGATCAAACTAATCTGGCCTGTTCCACAGGTAGAATTCCAGTGTATTGATGGCTCTGGTATGCTGACACACCAGTGTGTGAAACAGCTGAACTTGTACATGTAGTCTGACTAGAAATGATCTTTCTGATGCTAATACTTCTTACAGATGTGATCTGTTGTACTGTGTGCTGGACCTAAAGCAGTGAATATGACATTTGAGTAGACAAACCCACACTCAAGTATGGACTGGTTCAACCAGTGTTCAAGTATGCATTGTAAGAGGATTGGTTTGACACGTTATAGTTTGTATAAAACACTATATGCATTTTGTGTATTATTAGAAGTACCTATTATTATTATTATCTGGAAAACATACACTGAATTTTGTTTCAACCGTCAACAGTATTTTTAGATGCATACACATACAGGGTCCTATAACAGACCCCTGGTGGTCCCTAGAAGTGTTGTTATTTACTAAATAAAACGGTGAAAAATTGCTTTCGGTATATAAAACTTAAACTTAATTAAATTTGAATTGTTGCCTTAGCAACTAACTATTAAATATATTAGAACTAAAATTTTATATTTAGTACTAAAATGACTAAAAATGAAAAAAATAAATGAAAGCTGTAAATAAATAATAAAAAAGTAAAAAAAATGACAAGTTAAAAATAAAAGCTTTTTTAAAAACATTAATAAATTGTACATAAATAATACTGGTCCCCCAACCCCAGTTGCATGTGAGCAACCACCCACAATACCATAGTGGCAACTTTTGCATGAGCAAGCACCACTTGCGTTTTTATTAAAAATCTAGTTTCTAAAATCAAAATCTTTTTGTATTGTGTTGTCAGGACGAGTCATGTCTTCTCTCTCTCTCACTGTATTGTAGTTAGTGTTGTAAAGATGTCCTTTGCACATGCAGAACGCTAAGTGTAGCAAATTTCCCCCTGAGAGTGGCTGCACTGTGCCTGTGACGAGCTGTACCATTATCGTGATGTATTAGCCATACATTATCTTAGTATAGCAGGTCTACATTGCAGGAGAGAGTGGTGGAGGAGAGCCAGGGTGACCCTATTAATAGCTCAATGCAGTAGCATGTGGAGCAGACCAATCTGCTGCAGGCTGAGTGAAGAGAGGCACTTTTACAGGACCCAAGTCATCCGCTGTTTATGGGAGCAACCAAATTCGTTTCTGTATGGCTGTCTGTCTGCGGAAATGGAGAAAGCACAGTCATTCATAGTAAATATCCTCCCTGACAGCTTCATTGTTGGGTCTGAGCCAGACCGATATTACAACCCCACTTCATCAATGACCTCCCCTTTTATTTCAGAGAGAAACTAATGCTTCATCAAAAAGATAACACAAATGTTTTTGTGTTGAATTTAGGAAAATTATAGTCAAAAACACTGGCATTCCAATTGAAAAGTTTCTTTAATGTGATTTTTTTTTTTGATGTATCTGTTGCCATTGCCAATACCAACATTAGTGAAATGTGTCGAATTTTTGGGAAGAAAAAAAAACCTCTTTCAGTTCAGCAGTGTTTATAAGTTAAATGTGAAGTGTGTAATTTTTTGGTACTTGCATCACCAAAAAAAATCTAAGAATTATTTTACTTTACTTTTTTACATTCATTCTCCAAACTGCTTGTCCTATGCAGGGTTATAGCAGAAACATTGGCAATTCAAGTAAAAAAAAAAACACTATTTCTTTATGTATCTATTGCCCTTTTTTAGTTGTTTTTTTTCTCTTTTTTCCCCCCCTATTATATCTATTATTTGTATTCTCCAAACTGCTTGTCCTATGCAGTGTTTATGTTATATTTTGTTGTTTAAAATTTACCAAACATATCCTCATCATCCATTAGTCAGACAAACTGATAATCCCACCCTCAAACTCAGAGCATTGCATCGCTCAAACAGTTTCCCAATTCATTTCGTACCATTATTAGCACAAACATTCCATACTTCACTTTTAGAGATCTATTTCTCTTTCACTTTACATGCTCATGTAACCTCTGTGCTGATAATTTCATGTTTTCCTTGCCTCTTTTGTAATCCTGCATGTTCACTTGTCCCGTACAGGTGAACACTATTTCTTTATGTATCTATTGCCCTTTTTTAGTTGTTTTTTTCTCTCTTTTTTCCCCCCCTATTATATCTATTATTTGTATTCTCCAAACTGCTTGTCCTATGCAGTGTTTGTTATGTTATATTTTGTTGTTTAAAATTTACCAAACATATCCTCATCATCCATTAGTCAGACAAACTGATAATCCCACCCTCAAACTCAGAGCATTGCATCGCTCAAACAGTTTCCCAATTCATTTCGTACCATTATTAGCACAAACATTCCATACTTCACTTTTAGAGATCTATTTCTCTTTCACTTTACATGCTCATGTAACCTCTGTGCTGATAATTTCATGTTTTCCTTGCCTCTTTTGTAATCCTGCATGTTCACTTGTCCCGTACAGGTGCCCGTACCTGGCAGTGCACCTGTCTCCTGCCATCCCTGTGTTTGCAGTGTTGCTCTTCGTCTTTGTCATGGCCATGCTGCTCCGAACCAGCTTCAGTGACCCAGGGGTGCTGCCACGGGCCCTGCCGGAGGAGGCCAACTTCATTGAGATGGAGATCGGTGAGTGTAAGGCTGACTGGGTGTTGAGGTTTAATGCCATGGTTTGTACTAGGGCTGCACGATTAATCGCATGCGATATTTAACGCGCATCTTGAGCTGCGCCAAACCACGTTCATATTCGCGCGATTTTTAGCGCAGCTCCTCAGTGAACAACGGCTCTGTGTAGTTAATGCTGCTCAATGTGAAAGCACGCAGGTGATGGAGATTTACCGCTGATTAAAGAACCGGCTTTACTGATAAGATGTGCGTTAAATATCGCTTGCGATTAATCGTGCAGCCCTAGTTTGTACCATCAGTGCCACCTGCGGGTGTTTTGACCCAGTGAGACAAAGAACATGAATAGTCTAGCATGCACGCTGTTAGCCCAGACCTGCTTATTAATTTATTGTTTTGTTTTGCGATTTAAAATGGCTGAGTGCGTTGGTTCATGAACTCTTGAGTTCATCTGGGAAACATTGTGTTCTTCTTGACTTCAAGCTTGATGGGCTCTATATTAGGGCTGCACGATTAATCGAATGCGATTGTCATCGGTTCTGTAATCAGCAGGCAATCATTATCACAGGCTTTCAGATGGAGCAGTATTTACTACACAGAGCCATAGTTCACTGGCAAGATACGCAAAAAAAAATCTCAGATGATTTTTTTGCGCGATTATGAAATCAAAGAAATCGTTCGCGATAATGACAGCTGTTTGCATAGCTTCTCAGTGAACTAGGGCTCTGTGTAGTAAATGCTGCTCCATCTGAACGCATGTGAAAATACCACATTTAATAAGATATTTTTACTCAACTCACTTCATAACGTCTGTTGAGTGTTTGAAATAAATCCTTCTGTGAGATGATGTGGCTTCT